ACACACACACACACATATATATGTTCATGTATAACTGAAAAATTGTGCTCTACACTGGAATTTGACATAGCATTGTAAAATGATTATAAATCAATAAAAATTAAAAAAAAAAAAGCATGGGTGCTTAGGTCAGATTCACCTAGGTCTGAAACAAATTGAGATTCCTTAAGAATGTGCCTTGATTTTTCTGATGCTCAACCATCTCATTGGAATATTAATAAAAATAACAATGGCCAACTGTTATTGAGTGCTTCCACATGTATACTGTGTTCTAAATGCTTTGTATATAGTAACCTTCTAATCCTCACCGTAACCTTATGAGATATATACTACCACTGTCACCATTTTGCAAATGAAGAAACTGGGGTACAAAAAGGTTACCATCCCTGAGATCAAAGAACCAGTAAGTGGCACTTCAGGGATTCCAGCTCTAGACAATCAAACTCGAGGGCTCACACATTTCAAAATTATTAAACACACTTAAACACTAATAGTCTCCTCACAGGGTTAAAATAGTACACTGTAATAATAATATTCAAAATAAAGCATTTAGCACAGTGCCGGGTACATAGAAACAAACGTGAACTCAAAAAGAAGAGAGAAATACTTTTTTAAAGTTTAAATCCTGATGAAAAAGTTGACAAATATTTCTTTTTCTGTCCATTTATCTTTGTTTCTCTAATTTCTCCTTTTCTCAGACTCTTCCATTAAAATGCCACTGCCCTTCCATCACTCTGACGTGTTGATGTTTTATCATTCCCTTGTTCCTGCTCCCCAATCACCTGCTCCAGCTTCTCCCATTGCTTTCTTTCCAAGCTCATTTTTCTCAATTTTCAAGGCTGCTGACAGATAAGCATGAGTAACATTAGAGGGTTTGTTTTCATAACGTTCCCTTCAGAATATTACCAGAATAAATGCTTTTGTGCTACTTGAGACAAACACCCCAAAATACAAGCAGAGTTGCAATCAGTACTTGTCAGACCCTTCACTACGTAAATGGAGGCATCTCAGGGATCAAAAGGGATCAAGGAAAGGGTCTCCCTGCACTGTGGCTATTGCCTACAGTCTGAGGTACAAGCAAAAACAACAAATAATCTAAATAAGCACTTTATGTGAGACACTGGCAAACTCTTCTTTCTTTTTAATTAATAGTATAAAGAAAGGCCAACTTATTACCTTAACCTTTCCTCACAAATGATGCCACTGAAGATAAGTTGCATATGTAAAAGAGTCACTCAGGGAGCTTTCATTAAGGTGCCTGACAACTTCCATGATTATATTTTTCACAACTGCCAAGAAATGTTGAACTACAGTCTGGACTTCTTTCCCTTGGGGGAAGAATGTTGTTTATAGCATTCCGAAGGATTTGGTGATCGCCTGTGAAACATCAGCAGATGACACGTAGATGATTCCACAGTTGATATACATTGTCTCCTTAGGCAACCTTGAATTACCCTAAATTTTAGGAAAGCAACATCTACAGTGGCTTGACTCTTCTTTGGAACTAAGTGGCGTATGAATTAATTAAATTTATTTTGGTTATGCTAGGTATTTTCCAATGAAGAAACATTCTCAGGTACTGTAAGTAATCACAATATAAGATATCTCAGTGATATAGCCAATAATTTATAATAGCTATAAATGGATTACAAGCTTTAAAAATTATGAATCACTATATTGCACACCTGTAACATATAGTATTAGACATCAACTATACTTCAATTATAAAAAGATCTTCCATTGAACAACTTTTTCAAGGCAGTTGGCACGTTGACATTTCCAAGGTTTGTTCGAGTTTCTCTATTCCTGTGGCAAGTAGCCATTTACGCCAATTTCTGAACACTGGTTAATTAATAAAAAAAATTAATTGACACATCAAGAGACCTTAATGTTTCCACATCTCACACTGAAATATTCCCCCAGCTGATGAGTTGACACATTGTTTACTCTTTGGGTCATCACTTGTTTCAAATGAGTGACTAAAGGAAAAGCAGAGTTCTCAGGATATCATATTAAATGATATCTGTATTGGTCTAAAGTGTGCATGCCTTGCATTTTAGGAGATAATAATCTCATGTCAAATATCAGTATGCCTCAGGGGTAATTATATAACGGTCTATAATTTTAATCTTGTGTGTGTGTGTGTGTTTAGTTAACTCAAATGTAGCTCCTATATTAAACATTCTGAAACATTTTGTTCTCTAGTTTTATTGGTTGAAGAAGTAGTACTGAACTTTAAAATATAATGAAATAAGTTTTTCTTAAAAGGGGAATTTTTAGCACCACTTTTACAGAGCACTCTTGATACAGGTATCAAAATTATTAGCAGTACCTTTTTTTTTCCACTTGTTTTAACAGACTTCACTTTTTAGGCTCCTGGTTATATCTCTAAATAGATTTCACACTCCCTGCTCAGAGATAGAAAAGCGCACGCAGCTTTCTTCACATTCAAATAATAATCTCTTCATTCATCACTATCAAAGTCCAATATCTACCCCAGAACCTATTAAATTAACTACAAAATCATTGCTGGTCTCAGGTTCTCACAGAAAAACATGTCTCTGAGGACATTTCACTCATTTTATATCACTTTTCCACTGGATGTTCTTACATTCCAGAATGTATCTAAAAGGATTTAAAAATGTCCTTTCCTGTGATCTTATGAATTTATCATACTGACTACTCTCAATGAGAAAAGAGGGTCCTACATGAGGAGAGATGTGG